TTGGAATGTTTTTAAAGCATTAAGAAATTATGGAATTATGAAAATTATGGAAATTATAAGAATTTCCAATCGTAACAACACATATGTATTTGGTTTTGTTGATTAACATTGCTTTTGTGTTGATGTATTCTCTCATATTGTGGAAAATATTATTGACACCTTTGATTTTGTTGATTGTTGATTCTTTTGAAAGATCTTGTTCATCAATCTATTCTCTAAATTTAGCTTTGCTGTTAATTGTTTGTCATTCTTCTTCTATTGCTTTGTCTTTTTCTTTTACGTTATTGGTTGGAACATTTTGAATATTAAAATTTGGAGTATGCATTTTTGGGATGACTTCATTATCTGATTCTGATTATATTTTTGTATAAGACTCATGTAACATTTCTGAGTCAGATTGTATGACATTGTTATTAGTTGTATTTTTTTGATTATCAGCTAATAAAATACCTGTTTTAGTAATTGGTGTTTCATTGTTTGTTTTAAATATATTACTAAAAAATGAGACTATAACATTATCATAGTTTTCTTTTATAGGAACTGCATTTTGTTCTGGAATCTGTTCTTTTTTGATCATACTGCAAGTTATAAGATGAGTGATGTTATTATAAGATGTAAAATGCAATTTTTTTATTTTTCTATTGGTCAGATTAATTTCCAGGATTTCAGTAGGATTGTTATTGGTGGAAGAGTATTTTTTTCTTGCAGATTTTTGTAATGGAGTTAAAGATAATTTTTTGACTATACTGTCAAGAAAGAAACTTGACTTTTTAAAAGAAATCATTTTGAACGTATTTGAAAGTTATTATTTGTATTTTTGTATTTGTAGTATTATGTGTGATTTTTTTTATGTTTTTTGCTTTTATGTGTTTTTAAAGTAATAAAATAAAGGTGAACAGATTAATTCTATATATATATATATAATATTGATATTGATAGATAGATAGATGTTTGTAAAATATTTTAAAGTGAACAAGATAAAGCTTTAGCTTGAAAGTAAAAGAACTTTTTTGAACTTGTACTGTGACTTAGTCCACAATCAAGAGATCTATATGATTAAGATATGAAAAAAAGTTCTAATCTCTAATTACAACTTTACTTATAATTATAAATTATAATTACTATAGTAAAATAAATATTTATTATACTAAAACTAAAACAGATTAAAATTATAATAATTAAAATTATTTTTTAAATTCATATAAATTCTTAAATATTCATTCTAAATATTAACAATCTTATATTAATTTATAACTCATATTATGATCTATAACTTTACTTAGAATTTTAACAAATATTTACTTGAACTTGAACTGAATTTTTGATCAAGTTTGAGTCTAGTTCAAAATTTGAACTGAACTCAAACCAGATTTTTAATTAGGTTCAAATTTTTGAACTGAACTTTTGATCAAGTTCAAGTTTGATTCAAGCTCAAACTGAACCAGACTCAAACTGAACCAGACTTTTTTTCAGAATCATACTAAATCCTTTATTATTATTCAGAAAATATGCAATAAGTTTGTAACAAATTTTAATAAACTTGAAGATGAATTAATATATACTAAATTAGTTTATAATGAAACTTAGAAAGAGTCTGAAAAAATATAATTAAAAAAATTCTCAATATTTTAAAAGATATTTGAAATAACTTTGCTTTCAATTCTGAATTTACAAAAATATTAATATATTAAAAGAACAAAGTGTTGTCATTGCTAATAAAAAGAAGATAAATTTATAATAAAATAGTCAGATATCATGTTTGTAGCAAAATAATTTTTGAACTTATATATGTTAAATATTCTTGCCTAATTTGTATTACACAAAAAAGATCAATAATGAAATAAAACTGTGATGCAAATATAATGATGAATTATTTTGGATGCGTCAGACTCTTAAACCAGATTGATATTATAGATATACAAATTGTAGATAATAAAGTATACTTGTTCAAGATATGACTAATATACATTAATATTACCACTTCAAGTTTGCTAAAATTCCAGTACAAGTTTCAAATAAAAGAGTTGTATCTAAATTTATAGAAACTTTATTACTTTTACGTAATTTAATAATTACTAATCTATTTTTGCTATATTATAGTACAATATTCATGTTCTAGAGATCAATGAAGAATAGTATCAGTTTCTACATCCACATGAGATGATTAGATTTTTTATTTATCATGTATTTTTATTATATATTTTATATGTATTTTTTATCATGTGTTTTATTCTGTATTTTATTAATAAAGATTTCGGTGAGAATGCATCATGTGTTATTTTCAGTGGATCAGATGCTTGGAGTAGCTAAGTGCAATAATATTATAAGAAAAATCACAGATGGCTACCTAATTTTTTCGTATATTTTGTGTCTTAGATACTTAACGCCACTATTCTGTATTTTTTATTATATGATTTTTGATCACCAGATAAAAATCGTGATCTCATTAATCAGAACAAGTTTTTAGCTATACTAATAAACAAACTTTTGAATAAATTCGCATCTATATAAAAGTTATCATCAACCATGCAATGCGAGATTAATTCATCAGAACAAGAAAAGGCTAAGCTTTTGGTTAAGAAAGCTGAACTTGAGGCCGAGAATGCTGAGCTTCTAAAATCGATCATAGAATAATGTGCTGAAAATGAGACCAGTATTGCAGAATTAAAAATTGGTTTGCAATACCCAATCCTTTTTGAGCGTATTGAAGCTACAATTCTTAAGCTTGAGACTAGAAATGCAAAAATAAAACCAATTATTGAGGAATTTGCAAAGAAATCAGAATCTAAGAAAAATCGTAAATTTCAAGAGAAATGTATTTTAATAACCCAGATACTTCTCAATGAGGAACCTATAGTTGAATCTCGTCCTTCTTTCTTGAATGGGTTAGAGCTCGATGCCTTCTTTCAAAAATGTCAAATTGCGTTAGAGATACAAGGGGCTCAACATCGGCTCCATAGCACTAGTTGGTATAAAGATGTCAAAAAACTCGAGGATATTGTTAATTGTGATCGGAAAAAAAGATACATATGCCAAGATAACGGAATTTTTCTTCTTGAGGTATGGTATGATGAAAAACCAGAAATTGTTATTCCTAAAAGGATACAAAAAATTAAGGGTTTCGTTAATCAACCGTTTAGAACTTTCGACCTATAATCAAATAATTTAATTTCTAAATTGCAGGTAAGCGTTCAATATATTTTCACGAATTAAAAATAGTACATCATACCCGATATCAGATGTTACAAAAATAAAACTTGTCTGATTCGATGATGTTAATGATAAACTCGTCTGATCTGATGATGTCAATACTTAGAGTCAAATTTATTACTAGCGCTAGGCCATAAAAGTCTGCTTACAATTTAATTTTTCGTAGTGCAATGGCAACCACATTTTTAGGAGTAGAGTAGTTTTGGTGGTCGTTTAATTAGTAAAGGTACTATTTTATTATTGATTAAAAAACATGAAATAAATATTTATCCCAAAGTCTTATAAAAGGAACTTTGCGCATTCTTATAAAATACAGAACAAAGAGTACAAAGAGCCTTTAAAAAGCTAGTTAACATGATTCAAGATAATGCAGAATCCAAGGTATAGTAATGTATTCCATTTTTTTTGAAACATGTATTTTGAATTAAGCCAACAGTCCGTTTCTCCTAGGTGATCAGTCAAATCGAAAATGAAGTTAATGCAAAACTACGCGAAATACATGATGTGGATATTATAGAACTTGAATTACCAGAAATAAAGGCCAAGGACGAGAAACGTGATAAAATTTTTGAAGCGATCCATGATATTTTTAACGCCGAAATTATTGACAATAAATTATTCATGAAAGTGGGTTTACCATTTTTGTTTTACATGCATTTTCTAATTCTTTTGTTACTATTCAGTTGGATGGTGGAATAAAAACAGAAATACACAGAAAGTTGGCAAATTCACTTAACCACCAACTTCCAACTTGGTGGACTGAGATTGATACAATATGTGTGGTTAACGGTAATCAGTATCGACCTGATGTGGGTGGTTGGAATCCTAAACCAGCACGTAACCAAAGGCTTAAACCTATAATTAATCCATGTCCACCACCGTTGCTGTGGATCGAGGTGAAGATCTTATTCCCTTATCTTCAGAATTATGCAACTAATTATTGATACAATCAGCCTAATCAAATATTTATAGGTGACCTATGACAATTATGAGGATCGTGATAATGTCATAAATAAATTCGCACGCGTTCAACCCTACTGCCTGACCACAGAATTTGTAATAATCGTTATTCCGGCTACTGAAACTGCCTTTCCAGCAAATCCAAACCCAGGTGTCGGTTCAGTGGTGGCAACACTCAAAACGGCTTGTCCTTCTCGTGCTCCATATCTCGGCTATTTGCCCGCGGGAAATATTACTGCAATTCAATGGTACAAGATGAAATGGAATAGACACCTTGTATTAGGATGTGGAGCGAACATAGATTTTAATGATATACTTCAAGTCTTAACATAAAATTTATAATCAACAGATCAAACTATTATTGTTTTATTATTATACTTTCTTTGTTATGCATAAAAATTTATATGATCTGTGTTTGCTGTTATAGGAATTGTGAGATTTTGTTATCACTGAGTTTGATGTATTTTACTTGTAGTAGGTAGAGATTGTTGGTGTAATCAGAGTTTAGATGGTTGCAAATATAGAGATTTGATTGTGTGTGTTTATAAAAGAAGGAAATGTAATTAGTATGTGATGCATTTTTTGTTTGGCAAAGATATTTTTTTCTTTTTGATTGAGATTTGGAGCTCACAATAAAGAATTCATATCAATTTGTGTACCTGTTTTGTGATTCATTTTGTAATGAAAGCAGTGGTGTTGATGGTGTGTGTATTGGAATTTTGAGAAATAATATGAGATCTTTTGGCATGAAACTCTTAAAAATTCTATATATCCTGGTTTGCATTCAATAATAGTAAGATTATATTGTTATAGTATATTTTATTTTTTATATTTTATTGAACAATTAATTAGTTTATTTTTATTGGACATTTTATATAATATATTTTATTGGACAATATTTATTTTAATTTTATTAGTAATCTATTTGAACTTATTATTTATTTGTATATTGTATATCAATATAACAGATATATTGAACTTTTAATATTTTGAATAGTTAATTTTTAGAGATATCGAATTGTTGATATTTTGAATCATTGATCTTTAAAATAATAGAATTTTTGTTAGTTTAGTGTTATAGATATTTGTTACAATCAATTTTATATATAAATATATTTCACTTGATATCAAAAAGATAGTTTAGTTAGCTTAATAAGCTTGATAATAAGTTCTTAATAACAAATTCACTTATTAAATATCTTATAATTATTTTTTGATTTTAATATAGTTTTGCTTATAGACTTAAAATAGTTTAGTAATATTATTATTTTTGTATTATATACTTGTATAATCTATATGCAAAGTGCTGACTGAGATAGCAATAGTGAAAAATATAATAATAAAGTAACTTTGTTAATAAAAACTATTTTGAATTTATTATAATTATAACATTATCATGAGTCTTGAACTCAGATAAGTAATCTTATAACATATGTATTCAACCAATGTTTATCTCAGTAAGTTAATAATTCAATCCAATTGCTTTAGAATCATGATGTTGTGCAACTTCTTCTATTTTATTAATTTAGAAAGGTAACACTACTACTAATAAATATCTTCTTTGTATTTACTTAGTATAGTAACAATTCTATAACAATATAGTACTGATATTTTATAGCAACCTGGTTAAGTGTTCAGTAGTGTATAAAATAAATATTATAATAAGATTAATAATTATAAAATTAATTAATATACAATTTTATTAAACAATAAACAAGAAGCAGTTTATTAACTAACTAGATTTTGTATTAATTAATTAATATCTTTTGATTTATTTAAGAGGTTCTTTATTTATATTGTTACCATTCTACCTTTCATTAGTTATATCACGTTATATTTTAGCGCAGTAATGTTCATTTAAACTTTTTCT